TGTGATGTATTTAAGCTTACAACAGTGGTTGTACTAGTACTACTGTCGGTCAGTACTGACTCATCTTCCACGATCAGAATTTTTTCTTGACCAACCTCAGCTGAAACTAAAAAATCAAACACTTAGTATGACATAAAATGATGAAGGAGAGTATTTTTGTAGTGAATGCGCTACCTGTCTTAGAAGCAGGCTCGATATTCAAGTCGACATCAATCCTATCAGATGGCACTTGTGTTTGGCGACGTTTCTTTGGGGACTTTCTAGACTTTTCAGGCGTTTTTGACCATTCAAAAATGGACGGAATAGCGCCTTTATTGAGTACTTTTTTTTTGGTTAGAGTTTTCTTTATATCTGATGGTCTAAAATGCTGAGAACAAACTCTTGTGCTGTTGGTAATCTGAAAATATAATAATAACGCAACGAATGTAAACAACGCTCGAACTGGGGTCAAAGGTCAAAAGAAATTCACTTTACCTGGAATGATTTCCCGATATCGCGCTTAATTTTTGCAATCCATTCGCGTCTCAAGGCTTTCTCTTTCGGAAATTGATGAAAAGTGATATTAGACTGTGCTTTAGACCTATTATTTTGACACAAAGGAACACAACAGTGATCTTTGTTCGGCATGATTTGCATCATCAAGCGTGACAAGTCCCACGCGTAACCTCGTTTTCATGCTAAAACCTATGACGTAAATCCAAGATGGCGACACCGTGATAAAGGCGAATTAATGCGCAATCTAATTCGTTTCACAACTTCATATATCACGTCACGTCAGCTAGACTCAACACTGTCTCAAATAACACCTTGAACAGACATTTAAACTTTTTTATCAGTATGAATGCTCTTCAATGAAATTCCGAACCTACAGCATCACAACTGAGTGATAACCCCGCAGAAACTACGTTTACCACTTACTTAAGAAGTGTATCCATTTGTTTGAGATAATGGTCGTGATCTCGGTCGTCYTTCTGAGGCGCCTTCTTTGGATTCATGTAAATGATGTGGTACCCACGTGGGTTCTTACCTATGAATGATTACAAGAAACGAACAAATGTTTCGATATCCCTTTTTAGCATTGATTGGTGTTTTGACTGATTGTTGAATTTTAGTATGAGACAGTGGGTAGTCTTATTCGCAGCCTSCCTCTGAGACCGGAAGTTGCAGCTGTGAGAGAGACTTGAGAGATAGAGTTGGCCTTGGGGAGGTCCTTCCCAATCCCTTTAKGGCCGCTACGCAGGCTACCCYAAGTATGAGCACTGCGCTGTCGGTGCCGGGAAACGACCCTTGCGAGAACGAATCCTTGTTCTTGCTAGTCTCGTCTTAAAATGCTAGCGTCCCGTTATTCTGTTCACAAAGCATGTAACATAAGTTTTTTACCTTATTTTTAGGTATAAATGATTGACTAGTTTAGTTCTCGTCTAATGTGTGCCCTGAAGGTCCTGAAGTATAGTTTGAAAAATCGATCGAAAATACCTGTTTTGTTATAGAATGATACATTCATTGAACAAACCTCCATATGTTATAAACTCTTGGTGAGAGTCTACATCGACACCAGTTGTATTGCCTTGTTTAGCCACTTTCACTGATTCTCCACTGCTAGTGTTTTCACTTTCAAACTTCCTTTTTACTTTCATAATGGAAATGAATGGGTAACGAAGTGGAACATGGTACATGGAAATGGCGAATAAAAGTAAAAAATGTTACTTAAGTATAAGTTAAATACAATTAAGTTTTTCACCTAAGTTAAATATGCTATGCTACCTTGAAATTTCTTTTCCATTGAACATCTAACTGCCTTTGCAACCTTTTGGTTGACTTGGTCCATGACCTTATCTTGATCGGCTGGTTTGAATATGAAGTCCTTTTCACTCGGTAATGGCGGGTCGTTCGTATGTTTTAACATCACTTCAGCAGCTCGTTTGAAAATATCCTTGACAAATTCCTTAACTAAACGCGATTCTTCCTCTGATAAATAAGGCTAAAACCAATTATAGATAGAGTTAAAATGACCTATAATATGTCGAATCACGGCATTGTGTGCAGAAGAAATAAAAATAAAGCCATTTGCTTACTGAAAGGCTGTCTTCATTGTCTTCCATGTTCTTGATAATCTCTATTGAGCGTTTGAAGACCTCGTTCAAAAAAGTAGCGATGACTGCCTTTTCGGCATCGTTTATTCTTGGTTTTTCGTACTAGATATTTTAAGCATATGGTAAACTTAATTAACTTAACCTTGGCAAATGAAAAACRACCGAAAAGAAATCGTTTGAAGAGCAAAACTTTCATTTTGAGTTTGCTTTACCTCAACCTCCATGCTCTCAGAGTTGGAATGATCCGGTTCAAACTCCTCGTTCACGGCATTTTCCATGTCTCTCTGGTAAACTGCTAAAATTTATATTTGCAAAAACCAAAGAAAGGCGCGAAATCCAAATACGTTTTTATCCAAAAGTCAAAGTCACCATCAGCGTTGGTTCAGTTGTGCGAGAACGAGGTCCCTATACCATCATGCATTGTCAGTTGYGAAGAAAAGAGAACGCCGTCAAAAKCTCAAAAAGGTGAGTTTCGTAGAAATATTCGTTTTTGRGTAAATATCCATATAGATTCAAGGACAGCACAGAAGTATGAAAAGCTATAGTCCTTACTGAGAGGCTAAAAACATAGCTGGGACTTTCATGGAGCTCTCTAATATATTAAGCTTATAGTTAAAGAGATTCTCTGACTCAAAACACCGGCGTTGATATCACACAAAACAATAAGCTTACAACTTTTACAAACGTTTTATTAACTTAGTACTCTTATATCAAAAATATCGTACATGAATAAAAAAAATACTAAATACATAGAATAAACAAATTCTTTATTACAGCATTAGTGAAATAATTGGGAAAAACTTC